GTGAGAGAGAAAGAGAGAGAGTGGAACTCTTATATATATATATAGAAGATATATATACTGAAGAACAAAGCTCCCGAGTGGTCTCATTCGAAACCGGAGTATATAGAGAGTCGACGATACAGCGAGCGAGCTGTGAGATACACTTTCGGCGATCGACGAAGTAACATTTCAGCACGCGGAGAGTTCGAAGGGCGATCACGGAGAAGGGAGGAGACATTCGCTGAATATTTCCACCGAGAAACGATCCTGGCTAATCCTCGCTCCTCGATTTTGTCTCGAGCGACGAAGGCGAGGTGGTCGAATGTTTAATAGACATACCGGACCATCTCGGTGAGAAACCACGCGAAATTGCAGAAGTTTGTATCGATGGCATCGCTTGTTGAAGGATTCGAGGGTGCTGCGTTACCATTCGCTGTCTAGGGAAGCTTGCGAGCTAATGAAGAAGCGAGCTAATGAAGAAGCGAGCTAATGCAGAAGCGAGCTAATGCAGAATTGCGGACGGAAAACTACGCAATGGGATGGGAACGCAGCGATCCGATGGTTCGAATCGTCGTGGAGGTGGTACGATATCGCGAGCATCCTACGAGTTCGTAACTGTTGCTTGTGATTTGACAAAGAAGTATTTACGACGGCCAGAAAGTTAGTTATCGAGGGACAACGAGCTCCAGCGACGAGGCAGCGATTTTCGACGACGAGACGACGGAGTTTCGTGGCGAGACGACGGGACGCAACGACGAGAAGCGCGGAATTCGCCGCAGAAATGGTGTTACAACTGCGGATATCTCTCCTTCGAGTGTCGCCGAAGAAGTCGAGGAGCGAAGCGTTTCGAACGTGGAGAATTCGGACACGAAGAACTGAAGAATAATAGCCGAAGAATAGCCGAATTCCTGCTAGCGGTACAGCAGGAATTCCGTAAAAGGTGTGTTAAGAGTGTTTGTATTTGCGAGCGCGAGGTTGCCTCTATAATTGACACCGGCGATTGTGAAAATGTAGCGGAACAATTACGGAACAATTACAGAACAATTACGGAACAATTATAGAACAATTATAGAACAATTACGGAAAAGGAAGAAAAATGTTACAAAGTACAGAAAGTAAATCAAAGTAATTTAACTAATTAAGTCTCGAGTAATTTAACTGAAAAGATCGAATCTCTGAAAGAACAAGATACTTCTTGGTCGAATCAGAAGCGACAGTTGCAAGATTTGGGTATCTTCCGGAACCGAAGAATCTAAAAATATTTCAAACGCCGAGGTAGAGACTTTAAAAGGGAAACTTGAGAACACAGAGGAATACACAGTGAAAAAGTAAACAGCGCGAAACTAAACGAAGCACTCGATGCCAAGTTGAAGATGTGTGAAAATATGAAATTGCATACGAAGTTTAACGCATCGAAATAACTCGTATGGAACTCCTATCGAACATTGCAACAGAAACTTCAATCGTCTTTCGTCGTTTCGAAACTAAAGATAGCGAAAACAATTTGAACGACGCTAAATTGTGCAATGTCTTCGAACATCGTTACGTGAATTCGATGAAAAATATATTTTGAAAAAAAAAAGAGAAGTTAAATCGCTAAATATTACAACGGAAGAAATGAAATTAAAAGGACAGCGATATCAGTCACTGACTTTCGAATTGGAAGAGAACGCAACGAGAACCGGACTTCAAATTCGCAGCAAAGTATCTCGGGACATATGAAATAACTAAAATACCAGGAAACGACCGGTGTGTAGCGACGAAGGTTGGCGAACACGAGGGACCGCGACTGGATGACTGAAAGCAGTGACGAGCTGTGCAGTGATAGTGAAGTGGTGGACTAATAGAAACAAAAAAAAAAAAAGAAAAGCGTGCCAGGAGGCCAGATATCCTTGTCAGGAGAGCCGAGTGTGAGAGTGGGAATGTGTGCGTGAGAGAGAAAGAGAGAGAGAGAGAGTGTTAGCTATAGGGTAGGTACAAGGATATTGAGCGGACTCTGTTCGTTTTAGTTTCGTTAATAGTTGAGTCAGTATTTTATAAATATAGTAACATAATAAATCCTGCATATACAGGGTGTTCCGAAAGTCGGGGAAGAGCCGGAAATGGGGGGTAGCTGAGACGATTCTGAACAACAATTTCCTTTGCAAAAATGTCGTACGAGGCTTCGTTGAGGAGATATTAAGAGAAAACCGCGACCAATCAGAGCGCGAGGATGCCGATGCAGCGCTCGCGGTAGCCAATGAGCGCGGCCGCCTAGCGCGTACGCGCGCTCTGATTGGTCGCGGTTTTCTCTTAATATCTCCTTAACGAAGCCTCCGACAACATTTTCGCCAAGGAAAAAGTTGTTTCGAATCGCCTCCCGGACCACCTCTTTCAAGGTGTTACAACGTTTTTCGGACACCCTGTATACACAGAGTGGAGGTGATTTGAAACAACTTTTTCCTCGGCGAAAATGTCGTACGAGGCTTCGTCGAGGAGATATTAAGAGAAAACCGCGACCAATCAGAGCGCGAGGATGCCGATGCAGCGCTCGCGGTAGCCAATGAGCGCGGCCGCTCGGACGGTCTACGCGCGCTCCGATTGGTCGCGGTTTTCTCTTAATATCTCCTTAACGAAGCCCCATCCGACATTTTTGCAAAGGAAATTGTCGTTCGAAATCGTCTCAGCTACCCCCCATTTCCGGCTGCTCCCCGACTTTCAGGACACCCTGTATATATAAGACATCTCATTGATGTATACAGGGAAAACTTGTGTCTCTTCCCTTTCCTCCGTCCACCCTCTCGACGCAAAGGACGAACGCGCGTACGACGGGTGCACGCGAAAGAACAAGAAAGAACAGGAGAAGGGGGGGATGGACCAGCTGTAGACGAAGAAAAAAAGCACGCGTACGGAGATCCGCGCATCGAGGGTTTCGCGAGAGCGCACGTGCAGCCCCTGGCGCGACCGACCGACCACCGCCAATCTGCAACGGGGGCGGTTCTCCAGCGGCGCGCTGCGCGCCGACTGGCTGGCCTCCGAAGGAGGAGGCCGGCGGAACGGGTGGAAAAAGCTCGGGAAGCCGCAAGCTCCGATGGTGGCGAACGAGAGAGGCCACCAGCCAGCGACTCCGCCAGCGTTCAAATCACGGCCGAACGCGACGCACGCACGGTCTACTTTCCCGATCGTCGTTCCCGCGACGCGTAACTCCATCTCTCTCGAATCCATCTCTTTTGGATCCATCCATCTCTCTCTCTCTCTCTCTCTCTATCTCTCTCTCTCTCCCGGATCGGCGTGTGGCGGCTCGAGAGTCTCGGAACGCCGGGATAAGAGATCGCCGAGGTGATGTCTGCGCCGCTCTCGACCGACTTCGTGGTACCGAGGAGTCCAGACACGCGGAGCTCGGCGAGGAGTCGCGTCTACCGAGAAAGGTTCGCTCGTGCACAGTCGGCGCGGTTCGACGGATAGACGCGAGTAATGCGTTGACCGGAGTAGAAGGAACGATCCGGCAAGTGCTACCGAGCAGCTACCGAGCGGTCAAAGGAGCGGTGCAACCCTCGACCGTGAACGATGTACAGTTTATACAGAGCTTGGTTCGGGGACAGTGCGATGGGGGACAGTTACTCGAGGCTTCAAGAGACCCTGTCGCCGCCGGACACGGTGGTCAGGGTCGGGAACGAGGGCGAGCAGTTCGTCGCTCACAAGGGCGTCCTCGCCGCTCACAGCGGGTACCTGAAGGCCTTGCTAACCAGTGCCGCGACGACGCCGAACAGTGCCAACGCGAGCGTCGGCAATCTGCCTGCGACGATCGCCGTCACCACCGCCAGCCTCCCGGGCCAATCGCCGCGACCCGTCACTTCCGTTTCCGTCTCGTCCATCGGTAAATATCCGAGGTATTCCGGAGCGGAGGCTTCTCTTCCTGGACTCGCGTCCTCTCACGCCGGGAACGTACACGTTAGCTTGCTAAACACCGCGTGGTTTTACATTTGCTTCTTCAAACATCTATTCGAAGTACACGGAGTGATTGTTATTATAATTAACGCGAGCAGCCTCGACGTCGACTTCTTAACAACTTCTCTACCGTGAGCCCAAATATATATATATATATATATATATATATATATATATATTTATATTTATATATATATA